AAAGGATGGGGATGAACTCCCAAAGCAACAAAAAACCGTAGTTTTGTAGTAAATTTTTAATTACTTTAGTAGTTTGTTAAAATGAAAAATAAATAAAATAAAAAAATTAAAAAAAAAATAAACACAGAAATCTAAGCAAATTATTTACAATTACATGAGCATATTCTAAATACATACAACAACAAGAACATTTTCCAATAGCATACATACATATATACTCTATATATTTAGATTAAATTAAAAAAAGAAGAAACGATTAAAAATAAAAAAATAATTAAAAAAATGGGAAAATATAAAAATTTACATTAAAATGGAGTTGCTTGGTATAATTTAGTTGATTTACAGCATGGTAGAAGAATATAGGTAGACGCATCGACACAGCTGCTGGGACAATGAACTGTCAAACCAATTTTGGAATGGAAAATGTTGAATGTAAAATTGTTGAAAGACGCGAATTATAATAGCCTCCGAATGACGTCGAATAAGAAAACATATAAAAATCCACTTATATTTGAAAAAACATTTAAAATTTTTTCAATGTTCCCAAGCGTTGATGCATCTACCTGTATTTTTCTGCCATGATTTACAGGCAGTATTTTAATGATATGTTCCTACATTCGGAATGAAATATGGCATCAGATATTTTGTAATGTATTTACGAAATTTTAGTGGGTATTATCTACGTATCAGATTAAATTGTTTTTACATATGTAATATCAAATTTTTCATATGTAGAAGTTGCAGATATCGTGTGATATATGAACGAAATTTCAGTTGTGAAAATCAAGAGTAAAGTACATACCATGGTAGAAGAATAAAGGTAGGTGCATCAACGCTTCAGAACAATGAAATGTCCAAAATTTTAAAATGTTTTTTTTTTTTTTTTTTTTTCAAAAAGAAGTAAAATCAAATCTGATGATGTTATGATGAATTTTTCAAACATTTATACGAATTTGGATAATTTTCTTCGATAATTTTTAATTCCAAAATTAGTTTCACAGTTCACTGTCCCAGCAGCTGAGTCGATGCGCCTACCCGAGGTAGATGTACTAGGTAATCGCATCAGCCCAGCTGACGGCACCATTAAATGTCAAAACAAATTGCTGTAATGAAGAATTCGCCCTAAATGAATGCAACAACAAATTTGTTAATGTTGTCTTCCCTAAAAGTACCTTTTTATAATATTTCAAATAATTTAAGAGCAAGTTTAGAGTGAAACCAGTAAAAAATTAAAAGAAAATGAAGGATGGAGGTTAGAATGGAGTGCAGCTTTAAGAATTAAGCTAGCCTCAACATCTAAAATTCCCAAAGCACATCACGGGAAGTAGTGCAAGAATTTGACTCTTGTCATTTGCAGTTCCTGAAAACTTTCGACTTAAACCAGTAAAATATAGTCATTATAAGTTTCTTGGTTTAAAAAATATAGCAATACTACAATTAATACTTATTTTACTCTTATTTGTTTTACAATAAAAACTTTTAATGCGACGTTCCTCGTTTCTGATTGGTTGAAACAAATTTGCGGCAACCTTTAAATGTCATGGCGAATCTATGTTTTTCGCCTTTGATGCCAATTTTGACATTTGAGGGTACCACAAAAGTTGTTTTATTGTATCAATTCGCCGATGCGGTTACCTGTTAGATCTACCTTGCGCCTACCTATATTCTTCTACCATGTCAGACACTCTTAATGCCTTCAACGCCATGCCCCGTTAAAGATTTTAAGGGATCTATAGTCGAATTTCCGTTACACGCTTTTCAATTGGAATAGACAAATGGAAATATATTCAAAGTACGACTTTTTTGTTCCACTTCGATAAATATTTATACCATGTTTTCGAGTCAATTTAGCCATTTTCAAATATCGGTCTGTCCAAAGGAATTAAGTAGAAGCCCCAAATATTGTGCTACGCAAGGACGATTTGAAAATCGGGGCATTCATGCTCTCTATTTTACAGACTCTGTCTGTATTCTACAATTCTCAGTAACACAGGTTTTGCCATGGTACAATGAATTCAAGGTAGGGCAGAACTACCATATGATTTAAATTTTTTTATTTTTCTGGCTTAATAAGTCAACTTCATTTGCTTATGTGTGTGTCTTCTTTTCAATAATAAAAAATTGTTCAGAAAATATTCAAATTCGGGTGTTTTCAAAATGCTTATTGCAACGAATGCATCGACAAAATCTAAAGTTTTTGTCGCGAAATAAACCATAAGAGATATATAGAACATGATATTGAAAAGAAATTTCATTCATTCAGTTTTCGCGGTTTTAAATTATTTATTCAAAATCAATGCAACAAGTTGTTTGTTTTTTTACTGTTTTGACTGTTTTAATAGTAATTCTGACATTACAAGCCAAACAGGTAGACCTCTATACTTGCAATTTTTTCAAAGTTGACCTACCTTCTCTTCATTGTACCATGGGTTTTGCCATATTTCATAAAAGAATTGAATTGAATTTGGACTCCAAATTTTAGAATTCATTTTTCGGATTATGAGCATTGTCTTAAAATATTCCCATAACTGATAAAAATGACATTAAATATTGACATTATGGATTCTGAGGGCATTTCTTGGTATAGGACATAAAGCGTTTGATCCAAATTAATTTCAGTTATTTTATTTATAAATCTGTCAAGCAACTCCGGTATTTGGAACAAGCAATGATATCACAGTACTTAGTATGTATGTATATTCTCATATATGTATATGCATTTTGTGCTAGTGAAATATAATAACTAAAATTACAATTCATATTATAAAAACGAAAAAAAAAGTTAAAAAAAAACTAAAAAAAGAATAACAACCAATCTCAAAATACATGCAACATGATATTTACATTATAATGAAATTAATTGTTAATACGTTAATTATTATTATTATACAAACCAACCAACACATAACACCACATAACTACTTCTTGTATGCTTAACATAATTATTATGATTAACTATTATTATTATTACTATTACTATTCATTAAAATTTATACACCAATGAAATTTACTTTTGACATACATTCATTCATCTATACTTACATATGAAAACCATGGAAAATTGTCCCACATAAAACTACATACATACATATTGAATATGAAAACAAAAAAAAACACAATTAGCGAATAAGTTATTTTTTGGAAAATCAAACCAAAATAACAATTGTAACCGAATTCTAAAATTCAAAAGTGTTAATTTTTTTGTTATACGTATATTTTTTGGAAGTTTTTTTTTCATATGATTTATATTATTAATTACCGTTTTAATTTATAAGAGATTTTTTTGGATTGTTTACAAACGAAAAATCATTGTAAATCATATACAACAACTATTATTGCATATTAATTATTAATATTATTATTGAGAAGAATATAAAGAACATAGTCATAAAAGAAATCGAAAGAAAACAAACAGAAACAACAACAACAATATAGTAAAATATTACTTTTGTAAATAAAAAAATATTGTTTGTTTTATTTATTACACTTAAGGCACGTTTTCATTTACTAAATGGAGTGGTAAATGGTAAAAAAATGGTCAAATTTATTGCGCCAATGCCTCGAATGAAATTGACTTTCAAATCGAGGGGATTTCACTTGGCACATCAATGTTTGGGAACATTTATGGTAGAAGAATACAGGAAAAGAAAAAGAAAACTTGAACAAATCTATTTATTAAAAAACTTTTAACAATTTTGACATATTAATGTTCCCAAGCGTTGATGCATCTACCTGTATTCTTCTACCATGGGAACATTAATATGTGACAAAGACATAAAACTATAAAGACTGGACAAAATGCATATGAGTTTTAATTTTTCTATTAGGTAGTAGATGGCAAGTGACATAACAGAAATGCATTGGAAATTTTAGAAAAATTTGTTATTCCGAAATCGCCGAAAAGTGGCGGAAATATGAGAAAAAAATATCAGATATTATAGACATGCTCTTCCAGAGCATTTCCATGTACATTGAATTGATAAAAATCAACAACAACCCTTAAAAAGTGTATGCTCAGTTAATTTATAACATAATGCTATGTCACGATATCGATATCCTTTTTTCAAAAATTTTATTTGTTGATTTTAAAGGGAATTTATACAAAATTCCCACCTCTGCATTTTCTGTAATTTACCTTGTCAATTTTCAATGCATAAAAAAGTGCGCATCTCTGATTTGTGTATATACAATGGATTTATGGATGTAAATTTTGACAATGAAATGTTGTCAAAGGTATAATATTGAAAAAATTGTAAACATATGATTACATGACTTTACCTTCTTAGTTCTACCATGATAAGTAGTAGAAATTATTGTTTTTCTCCCATAGATTTATTATATCGTTAATTTTACTATTTTCATTCACGTTTTCAACTTTTTGTGTAAATATTGAGATTTTGAACATATTTTTGTATTTTTCTATTTTTAAATTCTGCTGGAGAGACACTTGTCAAATATTTTTTCTGCCAATACAAACATTTTGAAAATATTGCCTATTTTGTTTACAGTTTTCTGTGGAAATTTCAACTCGTGGACAAAATGCGTACCTCGAACGAAAGAGAAATCAAAATGTACTTTCGTTTGAATGTACATATGCCATTCAACATTGTAGTTTTCATTCATAATTTTCAGTCGTACCAAAATTTTTCAAAATTTCATAAAATTTTTCTATTTTCAATTTGTATATGTCATAATTTATTTTTTCGATAAATGCTCTCATTTGTTAGGGATGGGACATATATTTTCGTTGTTCTGAGAGTGATTTGATTTGAACAATGTACAAAAATGAGTGTTCGCTCAGGATTTTGTGTGAAGAATTAGGTAGTTTTTTCATAGTTACGGGTCAAACAACGAATAGAGAGCGAATCAAGTGCAGTAGAAACGCCACATTAATTACAGTGCCCTAGGCTAATAATTTCAATGGCAGTAAGAACATGACATTAATGTAAGGCAAAACGATTCAACTACAAATCGATTTATATTAACCTATTTGTCGAAAGTCGACGTATGTGTCCCTAGTTTTCATTTGTAAACAATAATAAGCAGGGACACCACACGTGCAATCCTTGGGCATAGCAATGGAAAATTCCGGGATAGAACAGCCAGCGGAGAAAAAGTTGAAAGAGGATGTATCAACCGTAGTAATTCCAAGTGCCCCTGGCTTTACTCCACCAACTCCGAACAGTAAAAACCAACTGAAAAAGCAAAAGAAACTGGAGCAACAACTGCTGCAGCGCAAGGAAAAGCGAAAGCAAGTATGAATAGTCATTGATTTGTAGTCCTTAAGAAGTCATGACCCTCTAAATTATACGATTTTATTTTTAGGAAAAAGAACGTCAAAAACAAAAACGCCGAGAAGCTGCCGAAAAAGGTTTGCCCGTACGTAATGGCCCATCGAGAAAAGACCTGAAGAGACGTCTTGAAAAAGTCGGTGAACAGGAAAACCCTTTGCGTATTGTTATTGATTTAGATTGTGACGATCTGATGAATGAACGTGATATGGCAAAATGTGTAAAACAATGTCTGCGAATATATACCATTAATCGTCGATCGGAGTGTCCTGTACAATTGCATTTTACTGGTATTAAAACTGATGGTAATATACATAGGGTATTGAAGAAAAATGATGGCTGGGAAAATTGGCATTTAAAATATCACTTTGATGAGACACATTTAGAGGCCTTTGACAATAAGGAATTAATATATCTAACCAGTGAATCTGATAATGTGCTTGACAGTTTGGATGCGAAAAATGTCTATGTCATTGGTGGTCTCGTCGATCACAATCATCATAAAAACTATTGTCATGATCGTGCAACAAAAGCGGGCTTAAGAACGGCACGTCTTCCGCTGGGAGAATATGTCGATATGAAAACGAGAGCGGTGCTTACAACGTTTCATGGTATGTAATAAAAACAGAGATTATTTCAAGGAATTGATATAAAATTTTATTTTAGTTTTCGAAATACTGGTACGTGTGGCCGAAGGTAAAAGTTGGACTGATGCTATCTTGCAAACAATACCACCAAGAAAAGGTGCCAAACCTAAGCAGATAGCTGGAAATACTGCAGAAAACAAAGAGGAAACTGTTAACGATGTTGGAAATCAGAATACTGCCACTGACACAGAGGATAGTAACCAAACAAAAGATATAGAAACGGAAAATAGTAATAATGACAATAAAATCGAAAGTTCAGAGACAAATTGTGAAATTGCAAATGATGATCAAGAATCATCTAAAAAGGAATGTACTGACGAAACGGAGAGATAATAAAGGTTTAAATTACCCCATCGGGGTAATAAGCTCATAAAAATCATATGACTGATAGTTATTTGAAGTCCAACTTTTAAAAAAATATGAGATGCAGGGACAAATCACAGCGCAAAAAAAAAAAAACGAATTGTCATGTCATCCGCTTTTTAGTCTAACTTTGGTTTCTGAGTGTAACCTGAGATTCAGAAACCCAATCAAGGTTCTACACTCTTTCTAAAATAGCATATAAAACCAAAGCAGTTCCACGACTGTAATGCTGGCAGAAATAACCGCTCAACTCGTTCAAAAATTCTTGATATCTAAGATTTAAGGAAACATCGCATTGCATTTTTGAAGTGAAACTTCTAAAGTTCACTTTGTAAGTTTGAATTTATGTCATTGGTCGATAGATAATTTGGAGGTGTTACATTGCAACAATGAGTTATGAAATAGAGACTAGATATTGCCTGCCTAAAATTGTCATTGGGTTGATAGAATGTAAACCATCATTTGGGTTTTCTTGGCCAAGAATAAACCATACTCGTATTTTCACGGTATTAAAAAATAAAGATTTTGCTATTAAATCTCTTCATTCGTATTTACCTATACAATGCCATTTAGCGCTTCTGATTTTTTAAATTAAGTCAGGATATCCCTAGACTGTCAGACCAGCTCGAACATACTCGTATTTTCACGGTATTAAAAAAGAAAGATTTTGCTATTGAATCTCTTCATTCGTATTTACCTATACAATGCCATTTAGCGCTTCTGATTTTTTAAATTAAGTCAGGATATCCCTAGACTGTCAGACCAGCTCGAAGCGTAATTGGTTTAGAAACCTTTTGTGAAAAAGTATTTCAATGTTTGGATTTTTAATATTGTCATGCACAATTGGACTATCTGGTTGTTGTAGAAGCTCAATTCTCTAAATTCCAAAGAGGCTGAGATGACACTCTTGGGCCGAGTAGAGCAACTACGGATCGTTCTTAAATGTAGTGGCCAGCTTCCAGGCTTTTAAATAGCTTATATTTAAAGCCAAAGATAAGACATTATTGTTTTCTTTAACGTTCTATTTATTTTCTAAATTAGTCTTTATAATGTAATCCAATTGCACCGCGTACAGGTTTATCTAAAATTAAAAAAATAAAATAAAACAATAATATGGTATTGCAATATCAATGCAACATCAAATCACAACATTTCTTACCGTTTCCTGTACAAACATGGTTTCAGTTGCAACGCTGGCACATTGGCCACCTTGCCCACATTGCGAACTTTTTTGAATTGGAAAAAGTAGAAAACTTTTTGTCCAACATCTTGATTGAGCAATGTAAAACCAAAGGAGTCTATCTTTCGTACAAAATCTTTGACATTATCGAAACGTGATTGAATCTCAGCCACATACATCAGACCATCCATTTTCAGAACACGATTCGCCTCCAAAAGGTAATCCTTCAGATTTGTACCCATCAGAGACAAACAATATACGGCAACATCCAAAGATTGGGTATTTAGCGGTGTATTGGCCATATCACAGGAAATTATATCGTCGCGACAACTAACCAAATCCATGGAGTATACCTTGTGGGGTACAGATTTTGCCAGCATGCCCTCACCACAACCAAAGTCACCAATTTCCAAGGACTTGGGTAGTTTCTTAACCATTTTAATAATACGATTCAATGGATTTAATGGCCATTTTTCGACTTGGTGGCGATAGCCATCGTGATAGGCCTTAAAGGCCTCAGGATCTGATTTGAAAAGTTGTTCGGCTTTCTTACTGTTCATGGTGTACAGCTGTTCGTTGAGAAAACGAAATCGACCTCCCATGAGCTGTTCCTTCAACTTGGCCTCGAAGGCACTTACGCCGCCAGCAGCCCCCATGGATGTGGATTGTTTTTCTTCGGCATCTTCTAACAATGATTCCTTGGCTGCCTCCAATAACGCAGGAGTTGGCTTAATTTGTTTTTGTTTCTGTTTTTTATTATTCTTCTTCTTTTCGACTTTTCCTTCTTTAACTCTTCTCACTGCAGTCATAGTTTCATCATCGTCAGATTCCATTGGCATAGGTGGTGCAAGTGGGCCTCTTCCAGTGACTTCAGTCTTGGGTTTTGCCTTATTTTTCTTTTTCTTGTTTTTCTTAATTTTTCCACTGGCACTGGTGTCAATTTGGGCAGTGGGTTTAAATTTAACAGCATCGGCATTCTTGCCAAATGAGCTTGGAACGAAGAACTTCATTGTTTAGTGATTTATTTAGAAGACTGAATTTGATTTTCTTTCCTTCCGAGGTAAATAAACAATTACACGTGCAGGCTCAGATAATCGTCCAGCGAATGAAGGAAGAAGCAATATGTCCAATGTATAGAAAGTGGAAAAGCCAACACGCCGCAACAGCTGTCTATTCACAGTAGAAATGATTGAACGAGTGTTTACGAAGTGTGGATGGCATAATGAGCGTCAATTTTGGGGATTTATAGGTCGATAAGTGATTTACTTCAGTTAGTGTGGACACAAACCGATATGTTAATATCGATGAAAACTCTGAAGACATTCGTGGTGTACAGTACAAATTAGATAGAATAAATGAATGGATGTGTACGGTAACCCAAACATTTGTATCATTTTGTATAAATTAGGACTGTCGGATTACTTTTCCTGCAGAAATTGCCCAGCAACTTTTTTTCAGAGAGAGAGAGAGAGATAAATAGGGAGTGATCGTAAGGAAGTCCTATTCTCTGTTGTCAGAAAACTGTGAAAAGTATACAGACGGAATCGCTGTAGAAACTTGCAATCAATCAGCTGATTTGTCAAAACAAAATTATTGAAAAAAGTGAAGAAATAAAAATGTGTATTTTTTAATAAGAAAGAAGGACAAATTTTCTAACTAGTGGGAAATGTTTATAAAATACAATTCATTCAACGTGCTTTGATTCAGAAACTACAAGAACATAAAGATAAACTAAAAAAATATAAAAATTGCTCTTTTCCAGTACCTGTAAGAATCTACTAGTTTTGAAATTGTCTTCGATATCATAAAAGGAAAATCAGTTATCGTAGTAAAAACTTTTACATTCTTCCACTTCTGCAACAGACCATAATTATTATAACCAATTGAGAACGATTTTTCATAATTTTTTTTTCGTAAACTCGAAAAATTGGTTTCGTAAACCAAATAACATTTTTAACAAATTTTAAATTTTCTCTAGTGGTAGACATTATTGACTAGTGTTCTATAGTTCGTTAAAAAATAACAAGAGCTTTATTAATAAACTAAATAGGACGCATGGCAGAAGAATACAGGTAGATGCATCAACGCTTGGGGGCATTGATATGTCAAAAAAATGTAAATGTTTTTTCAAATATAAGAATATTTGTATATATTTTCTTATACGACGTCATTCGGAGGTTATAATAATTCGCGTTTTTCAACAATTTTTAGAAATTTAAATAATATTTCATTCGACATTTTGAATTTCAAACTTGGTTTGACAGTTCATTGTCCCAGCAGCTGTGTCAATGCGTCTACCTATATTCTTCTATCATGATAGGACAGTTAGAAACTTCTGGGAGGAATAAATAGGCATACAAAAGAAAAACATAAAAGACTATTTGTCTCTTCCAGGATTGCAAGAATGTAAAAGTGTTTATTACGATAACCGATTTCCCTTTATTATATCGAAAAAAATGCAACAGTAGTAGATTCTGGAACGGAGGAATGATGTGTAATCGGGCCCTAAGTAAAATATTTTTCAAAATGTTTGCCCTGATTTCGGGAAGGTATTTATACCCTACACCACATAGTGGTAAAGTTACTATATCTTTGTAACATGGAGAAGGAAGTGAATAGACCCATAGTTACTTGTGAGGATCTTCATATAATCAGGAAGTGATTTAAGTGATCGCATTATGCATGTCAGTCCGTCGGTCCGTGTATTTTTGTGAACAAAATGCAGGTCTTTTTTATTATGAGATGAAATTTTGCAAAGAAAATTTGTTTGGCCCAAGGATGAACCCTTTTGAAATTGATAAAAATCGGTTAAAATGATATGTAGATATAGATATAGCACCCATATATATCTTCAACCGGTTTCGTGTTAATCGTGCACCAAATGGCTAATATCAGTCCAAATGACCAGATTTTTTACACATCCGACCTAATTCAGTCTAGAAGCAAGTAAATCAAATTTGTAGAAAATCGGTTCAGATATAGCTATAGCTCCCATATATACGTTTTATACGATTTAAGGTTGTAAGCCCTTCACATGCGTAATATCCACTTCACAACAATCGTATTTGACACCGCGCATATGGTACTGCTTGAAAATACATCTGACAAATTGTAGCGAGATCGGTTCTGATTTTTATATAACCTAAATATACATCTTCCTCCGATTTTACGGTTATTGCCCACCATATATGTAATATCAGCCCAAATCGAACAGATTTTTATAACCTCCACCATAGTATGGAGGATATATTAAGTTTGTCATTCCGTTTGTTTGTCATTCGTTTCATCGAAATTGTTTCAAATTTGTTATTTGAAGTTCGTAATGGATACTACAGCCTAAGACAGAAAATTGTCTGTGCAGGTCCACGTTTTCGTATATTCCCCATATAACGGTACCTCCCGATAATCGGAATTTGATTATTTTAGCGACATTATTCACCGGAATTGTTTCAAATTTGGTACTTGAAGTTCGTAATGGAACTACAATATATGGCAGAAAATTGTCTGTGCAGGTCCACGTCTTCGTATAGCCCCCACATAACGGTACATCCCGATATTCGATATTTAGATGATTTTAGCGACATTATTTACCGAAATTGCTTCAAATTTGGTATTTGAAGTTCGTAATGGGTACTACAGCCTGTGGCAAAAAATTTTCTGTGCAGTTCTACGTCTTCGTATAGATCCCTATATAACGGTATCTCCCGATATTCGGTATTTTGATAATATAAGCTACATTATTCAACGGAATTGTTTCAAATTTCGTATTTAAAGTTCGGAAATTACTTATGCAGGTCCACGTTTGTGTATAGCCCCCATATAACGGATATCATTTA